ACGGCGTCCTCCTAATTTGGGCGCGAAAATATAGTTCTGATTTTATGTGGGCTCCATCTCCGCGTGGCACAGCCTAACGCCATGAAGCTAAAGCGACAAATCATGCGCATTGCTGTGACAACGCCACTGTAGAAGGGGCGAGGAGTGCGGTGGCCGAAAAGATTGCGGTAACACGATTCGCGTCCAAATTAGGCTTTTTAGGACGCCGTGAGCCACTTCACGTCCACTACATCTCTTTAAAAATGAATGATTTGGTGTTTTTGATGACTATAGAAAAGGCACAAACCGCAATTGCGTAACTCTGACGTCTTTTTAGAAAAATGTCTAGTCGTTAAAAAAAATCGCCCTGTATAAGCACGATTGTAAGGCAGTTCTTTACGTCCGGCGACATCATTACGGCATGGAAGTAGACGTTGACCACAGATCATACGCTGTGCATGATCTGTGGTCACTGTTTTTTTTTTTTCGTACGAGAATGAGCAAACATTTGATACCAAATAAAATAGATTTAGCATTCACCTAATTCGGCTTGTTTACTTTATTCAAATCGATATTTGATTTGATTACACTTATTTTGTACCCGCACACGCCTACTTTATTCCCTGATGAGTTACAAGTAATAATTACATTGTTTTTTGTATATTTTTGTCGTGCGAGGTCATCACAATTAATTATTAACAATCGGAGCTATGCGATTACGCGGAGGAGGCGCATTTGAAGATATTCAAAATTGTTCTGAATACACAAACAACTTCAAACGTCTTGCTGTTTGCGTCGTTTCCTACACGCAGGACCAATAATAAAGTCAACACCTTATAGAGGAGACTATTTCTATCAACTCAACGCGCAAACACGATGTGAAGCGTGTCTGCGTACGTTGGAAAAGAGATACTGGCGAGCAAACCATAGCGTCGAATGTCCATGCATCAAAATGTCCGTGCACCGAAATATCCGCTCACTGAAAAGTCCCACACCGAAAAGTCTTTGCAGCAAAAAGTCCGTACACTAAAATGTCTGTGCACCAAAAAGTCCGCACCGAAATGCCCTACAGCAAAACGCTCTACACCGAAAAGTGCTGGACCCACTGCGGATGGGATCCTCTGTCACCTCTGCCGGTTTACGAACCATGATGATTCAGAACCACTGGTCTATGAAGCGCCATCCCTGATATACAGAAAACGCCGCTCGTACTTCCCGTTGTCGCCATGAATCCGCCTAAACAACGAAAGATGCCAAATCAGATATTTATATTAAAATTGATACTTCAATGACTACTTCTTTGAGCAGAACAAGGCATTTGTGCTTTCACAACAGCAAAGAATCGTCTTCCAAACCAATGCTAAAAAAGAGCCAATGCAACTCGTTGGGAAGAGCAAGTGCCAAGCTCGCTCAAAACAGCCACTCGGTTGGTTCAGGTCCTTGTCGCAGGTGTGCCGGCTGGCTTCTGGATAATCTTTTCAAATCCTTGAAGCTCTCCTCCACCCCAAACTTGTAAAACAAAAAACAAAAAAAAAACAGGCAGCTGGCAAAAAAAAAAAATACAAAAAAATCGGAAGATGGCGAGGAGGAAACGAGAGGCGATTTCCTCCTTTCACAGTGGCGAGAAGGAAAATGAGGGTCGGGTTCCTTCTCTCTGCTTGCGGGCCGGCCTTTTTAAGAAAAAACGGATGTAGTCGGGTGTATCAGCAGCACATGCACCCCTTTCCTGAAAGATGCACCCTCAGTTGCCCAGCTAGTGTATTCGTGCACCGACAATGAGCATCCTCCTCTCCCTTAAAAACCTCTAGGTGTATCAGTGCACCGCCACGCTAGCGCCGCACCACGACCAGCATGTGCTTGGATGCCCTCTTGGGGGTCACTTTTAGGTTGGTCAGTTTCTTAGGAAGTATGGAACTGTTTTGTTCACTCGGTATTGACAGTAGAGTACACTCTATGCTTGGTTTTAGGCCAATTGGGTCTCCGGGTAGGATCACGTGACTAAAGTCTCCAAGCTAGAGATAAGGCAGAGCACGGCACCTGCCTGAAGGCCAAGGCCACGGGTAGCATCATCTGCACTATTAACTTTGGGTCGAAATTTCAAGAGGATATAGGGGACAAATCCTCTAGCTGCGTTCATTGTTGGGATTACCCTGAAGATGAGCCTTCGCGAGGGCGACCACTTTTGGCCTTGAAGGAGCTGCTATTTTCGTATACTCCTCACTTTTCTTTCTCTCCCTAAGCTGAAAGCGTGGAACAGGCTACGCAGTCGTCGGACCTAGGGAGCCTTCATGTGCGCTTTGCTAGGGTGATGCCATCCTTTGTAATACCACTCGCCGACAAACCAGCAGCCATTTTGTTCCTCGGCGATAATCCGTGGGGCTTATAACCCTCCCGGAAACAAGCACCTTATCTCAGAAGTTCAGAGCAGCGTTGTGGAACCCACGGAGGGAGGATTAGCATTTTCCCCCTCGGATGGGATTACCGATGGACACAAAGGCCACTTTCCGGCGCGCGGGGAAACAATGAGAGAAACAAAATGGCGGTGGAAGAGGGTGTGGGAAAGGGAAACAGGCAGTTGGCATCACTCTATGCGAAGCGCACATGAAGGCACTCTAGTCGGACCGATGAACCGGAGGCTTTTTTTATGCCTTGAGTCCGCTGTCTGGGCGCGGGTAATGGCAGGAGCGTGATCATGTGGCAAAGGTTTCACGGGTGACGTAGTAGCTCTTTCCGATCCGGGAATGTCTGATTCCCGGCCTAGTTTCTTGTGTGCTGTGCTGCGACCAGCGGGGCTGCCAGAGATTTCGTCCGTGACAACGTATTCGAGTGTACCAAGGCTTCCAGTGTTTAAAAAGTCCAACGTACATCGGCAACAAGCGATTTCTTCAAAAAAGCCCAAGGAATTCATGTGGTGCGTTTAGTGTTCGGTTTGCCAAATTACTTCTTCTGCCACATCGCGTTGAATCTTCACAGACCCCTTTCTTTCCGTGTTTGTGTTTGTGTGGTTCTGCAGTGCCCGTGTCAACATCTATCTCGGATTATATATTTCAAGTCCGATATTTTCATCGTAAGTGCGCTGCAACCTACTCCTTTGCAGCAATTGACCGTTCCGTTCCTAATTACGTCTGAAATTAGGCAGTGCCTGTTTCCTAGCAGCCGGGAGAATAATTTCCCCGAAATTCTATCGGCAGTCGCCTGCCATTAGCTGTCTACAATCATGTGATAACTGCAGGTGACTTTCTTATTCTCCCGGCGTTTTGTGAACACGCGTTTCATGGACACCTTTTCGTTGATACACGTTTTCTAGACACGTTTCGTCGACACTAACATTTCACCGTTACTCATTACGCGAAATACACGCTGTAGGGACATTTCGTCGTGCGTGTGTCTCTGAGGCGCGTGCTCACCGACCCAGCCCATTCGTTCACATCGCTTCGTGGCGACAGTATGCGGCGGCTCATTAAAAAAATATTCACCCTACCTGTGATACCCGTATATATCACCTCATGCATGTAGCCTGGGGCGGCTCATTACAAAAAAAAAAAAGATGTTTATAGAGGAAAGCTAACCTGAGCTGTCGATGACACGTCGTTCACTGAAGTGATTATATCGCCAATGAGTGACGACTGCCGGCACGATTTTGGGTAAATAATTCTGCCGGCTGCTGAGAGAATAGGCACTACCTAAGAATCACCCCGGTTCTCGCTCGCTCAGTAATCTCCTCAGTTGTGTAACAGCTTCGGTGTACATCTTCACATATCACAGATTGCTTGCACGTTTGTATTTGTTTACGGAATAGGCTAATAAACTTATAGGAGATTTGAAAACAATCCGTTGTGTCTGTTTACCTGCCTTTTTGCAACAACCTGGGCGCGTACATTTTTTACAGGTTTCCTTGAGGTGGGTGCACAAAGAGGTGTAATGGTACATCATTGAATGAGGTGTATATATGTTCCATATGAGCGGGGTGGGTGTAGAAACGGTGTAATAGTAAACCCTGTTGGCGGGTGTATCTCTGTTCCCTATAAGCGGGGTGGGTGTAAACAACGGTGTAATAGCAAACCCTGTTGGTGGGTGTAGAGAAGGGAATACTTGTACACCTTAAATTGGGGTGTACCTGCACACCGAAACGACAGTGAGGGTGTAAGAAAGGAGTAGTGACACACCCCAGTATGGGGTGCATCTGTGCACCCCCGAATGCTGAAGGTGTATAAAAGGGTGCACATATGTACCCCTAAAGAGGGTGTATATATGCACCTCGATTTGAGGTGTACTTGTACACCTTTATGGGTGTAGTATATGTGGCAGCACTTACACCCCCTGTGGGTGTACCCACTACACCCTTTTTTTTTCAGAGTGCGCTGCACGCAGCTATGACTAATATTCGTAGGTTAAAGAATCTCGGAGTACATGTAACGCCCTTCACTTCAACGTTGAATAGGATTTTACTGAAGGATCTAGCACCCATGTTGCCACTGAATATTATCGACAAAAACCCTTTAGTGGATCAAGAGGCAACAGACATCAGTCTCATCATTCCTTTCCGCGCCACGGAAGGCGCTGACACTTGGCAAGGCACCAACGGCCGCGGGCCAGGCGGTCAGGGTGTCTCACGTCTACTAAATAAAGAAAGGCACATCGCGTTCGAAAGCGATTTAATAGTTACGTCCTCGAAGTTAGGTGAAAACATTTGCTGATTGTAGTGATTGGTCTTCCGAGTACATTATGAAAAAACTCACGCATATATCATTATTGAATTATTAACTTTCGTTTCATTATATCATGAGTAAAATAGAAATAAGTTCAGCTGAAATGCGGAGATCGCTCAGCCCAGGTGAGAAACAGCGACAGGTTGGTTGATGGCTGGTTGTATTTTTGTCGGGAAGACGATTGCAAACCAGGAATGATTAAATTACTAGAACTGGAATGTAACTTTCCATAAATGAAAAGAAAAGCAGAAGCATACTCTGATATTTTTATTACATATTTTTTTAACATACAAGGTAACAAATACGGCACTGGCTGTATTTTGTACGAAGTGTTCCATTTTTAGCCCGATGGTGCATCTGATTGCAGTTAGTAGAGCGGCTGTATCCCAGATGTGTGTGCGTGTGTTTGCTTCCCGGTTACGTTATTTCGACTTTTTATTCAAGAACTTAAGGTGCACATGTTCCGTCTTTGCATATCTATAAAAAGAAGGGTAAATTGAGGAAAAACCCATCAATTGACAATATCTCCAGATAATTAAAGTTCCGTGGGATTGATAGTGGCGACTACACTTTGCGGTATAATTTTGCTCATATATTTGTTTTCTCAATTTTTCAATAAACTTAGGAATTTACGTAATTTACTATACATGAATATGCATCAGCATTTTTCAGCTTATAGAGAACATTACCATGGAGCGATAAAACTGGACTTTCCGGATTTAACAAAAATCACCAATAAAAATCCGCCGGTGTCATAAATACAAAATTTGCTAAATCTGAAAAACACCGACAAACCGCCGTTTGTGCCAAAAATAAAAGGAATATCAAATAAAACCTAAAAACATCGCTTTCTATAATTTTTTTCCTGTTAAGATTGTATATGTTGAAACCCTCCCAGTCAGTCTTTAACTCTCCGTTTTTAATGAGAAGTTTCCCCGATAATTACCGTTTTTAGCGTCCATCCGAAACAAATAACTAAAATACAATATTACTTAAAAATAAGTAAACGTCAAAAAAACGTTTGCCGACTTCAATTTCAAATAAAAACCGGAAAAACTGCAGCCTAGGTATAACCCGACCGATAACAGATGGTGATCGGTAAATAACATGCTGTTAGTGCACCGATGGATTTAATTAAGTCTGTATACGCTGCATTTAAAATTGTTTAATTACATCTCTCATCGTTCGGATGTCTACGTTGTTTTATATTGCGAACAAGGATCTGAGGATTTTGATATGGAAGAAATTGAACTGATTACGATGTAGCAAAGTAGAAATTTGGGCTAGTTGGTTCATGATCAGCATATACAGCGCCAAAAAACGACAGGACAAAGACGAGAGTAAACAGGACGAGCGCCTCGTCCTGTTTACTCTCGCCTTTGTCCTGTCGTTTTTTGGCGCTGTATATACTCATTACGATGTGTAAAGGCTTTCCGTCAAAAGAGGTTTTCGTTTTCGGTTGGGTATTTCTATTGTAGATTCTAGAAGGGCTGCCAGTTTTAATGTATGGGGCCCGGCCGGTGAGATGTCACTTACCCCACCATTTATTATGCATGGAGAGCCATTATTCAATGTTAAAGTGTGTACTGTTACAGTAGAATTATTTTCATTTTGCTCGTTACAATTAAGGAAGCAACCAGCAAATGCTCCAGGCTGAAACATAGACCGAAAATTATATGAAAAAACTGTTAAATATCACATTAGATACACAAGCTATAACCTAAGTTCATTTACATGCGCTCGATCAATGTATTTGGAAGGATACAGTTCACTATGTCAAACCCCTTTTCTCCAAAAGAAACTAAGATGCTTCACCAATACACGAGCTTCTTTTTTTCTTTTTTTTTTTTAATGCTGAGGACACACTCAAGCAATTTTTAACACCGTGTAACTAACGTGTGTTACGATTAAGGGCAGAATCATGAACTTCGCGAGTCTTCTAAGAATTCGGTAGCCCAGTGTAGCAGCTCGAAATGTGATATCAAAATACGATATTCAAGAAAAACATCGAGCTTACATTGTTCTCCTTATCACTGATAAAGTTCTACAACAAACGCACGACTGAGACAAATCGATAGACTCGCGTAATTGTTGTAGAGCGTTTTCTGATTTGAGGGAGCACGTGCTTCATTCCTGGCTTTAGTCTCACTCAAAAAACTAAGTTGATGTTCATTGTGCGTATAACAGAGCTGCCTATTGGCTGTCTTTCGTTTGATGTTGCATTTTGAGCTGTCAGTATCAATTACTCTTCATCCACTTTTTGTCTTATAGTTGACGTCACCAAATAGGTACCGTAGATCTTGCAATTGTCTTATCGATTCCAGATGCTCGGAAACCCGTCGTCGGCCTCGTTCAATCTCGACCTCTTTTTCTAAAAATACGGCCGTCCATTCGAAATATCACCTTATGAGTGGTGATGAAGGGATTGTAGCGTCCCGCCTATCGATCCTGCATTGTATTCTGACATCTATATTTCGGTTCACCATCCCTTCAATGTTGTGGGAAAAGTACGAATTTCTACCACAATAAGCTGAGTGAGAAGTGAAAAACAACTAGCGTCTGTTTGCCATGAAGGTTCAGAGTGTTCTCAGCCTCTAGCTTCGCGAGGCTCGTGTGTCGCGCTTTTTCACGCCGTGAGTACTCGATTTGTTTTTTACCTTCGAGCCTGTGGGTCTGTCGTGCCGAGTGTATCCTATTCTGTCTCGTTTGTCGCGGTGTTCTACTAGAATACAATATATACTGAATTTCCGACACCATATTTAAGAAGTTACATTCTTATACATGCCATGATAGAGCAGGGATGTTGTAGTTGTTGTTTTTTGTGAGACATTTTTTTATTTTTTTGAAAATCAACTTGAATAATGGGAGAACTGTGCCAGTCGTTTCGGTACAAATACCTATACTGCGTCCTTAAACTCGGACGTCAATGTATCTATAGTTGTACCGACCACGTTTTTATTTTAAACATATCACCAGTTATTCTGCTCCAAGAATTTATACAATCCGATAAAATTTCCTCAGGAATACAAGAATGCAACCGAACTATCGGTTACACGTTGCCTCTATGATAAGTAGAATTTTGTAATAAAATGGGGATGATACCTATCAAACTTATCTAATGGGATCATAGCGGTTGTTGTTATCTCAAGCGAAGCATTTAATAAGTTCATGACAATCTAAAATTGAGTTATATTAACGAAAATTAATTAAAAAACTGTAAACCAACAGTATTCACTACGCGTTTTCCGAAGTCCTTGGTGTAAAAGAAACTGTGCCGGCCGCTCAGTCATTTCCTAACAAATTGAAATCACCGTAAACCTGAACGTGAAACTTCTCAAACTCTATTTTTTTCCTGGAGTACTTTAAATTGGTTAGTAAACACTCTGTTATATAAAAGAGGAGGAAAATAGTAATTATCAATTAATTATTTAGAGCCACCACGCTCTCTCATGGGACTCCACAACATTCCTACGGTGAGACTGAACTACAGAGTTCACCGCAACAAGTACACAACCCAAAATTTCATGCCCGTTTTATTACAGTCTCTCTGTTGGCGAAACACAGAATAACCTAAATAGAAATAACTGGTATCGGAGATCCCGGCACACAGGAGTTGCCTATATCAAGGCAACTCCTGTGAAGTGACGTTGCGTACGAAACACCCTATTATGCATGTCATAAAAAGTTGGGCCTGCACAGTGAGAGGTGTTGTTGTGACAGTCCAAAAACGGTCTAAAAGTGTCCCCGCAATCTTGCTATGGAAATCTCATTTGATAAACTGCTATTTACATATCCCGCGAATTGCCTTTGCACATGAACACATTATTTACGCGTCAACTGCGATAGTGCGTCGGAACTTGTATTTTGCCGAGCTGGGATCATTTGATTGGAATGTTTAAACTTTATTCCAAGTTGTTTTATTACACTTCGAAATATCAAGCACATTTTACTTCAGGCGTTGCCCATAGAACAATGGGGCAACGTCACACTGAGAGCTAAGCTAGTTTAATGTACGAGGTGATTGAGCTCGAGACCCTGAAAAGTCACCGCTACTTTATATCTGAAACATTTGTCGGTTTTGAGGCATTTGTTGTCTTGCTTTTTTTATTTTTAGAGACATCACTAAGCCTAAAAATATACAGCGTGTATAAAAAATTTGCAAAAATAAAATATGCGTTCGCGATCGCTCATTTTTCGCCCAAACGTAGGTCTGAATGAGATAATAAAGTTTCAGCAACAACCGTTACCTAATTTAAAAGTTATAAGTGATTTTCTCAAATTATCACTGCAAAATTGTGTTTCATTTTTACCCGTTTCTTGTAACTGTCGCCATAGAGTTCCATATATTCGAGAGCTCAGTAAGCGGCTCTTTTCACATTTGAAAATTTAAAAAAAAAAAAATCACATAGATTTTGAATAAGCTACCGGCTAGGGCTGAAACTTTGACATCCGGTTTCGACCTCTAGACCCTGTATTTGGGTGCAGCAGGACCGTTCGGCAATGCGTAATCTATTTTTGCGTTAAAAAAAAAAAAAATTTGATTTTTTGGGATACCATGTAGATGGATTTATATGTCTACAACCTGAGGTTTATAATGAAGTAATTGTATTATTGTGTTATTTGAATGCCATGCAGCCATCTTTAATGTACCAGGTAGGAGAAAGTTTTGGGCGAAAATTTGGCAGGTGTCTGGGAGTTTTGTGCCTTGAGAAACCCCAATCTAAATTAGAGAAAAATGTGACATTCTTTGGCAAGACTTGGTATTTTGGCCCCAATTCGCCAAAGAAGTGCCAAAGTTAGACTTCACTTCCTGGAAGTTCGGCTGTTATCTGGCGTCTTTGGGCCCAAGTCGCAAACAAGTGCCAAAGTTAGGCTTCGCTTCCTGATAGTTCGGCTGTCATGTGGCAGCTACGGCCAAAGTCGCCAAACAAGTGCGAGAACTAGGCTTAGTGCCTTGTAGTTCGGCTGATGAGGTATTGGATGCACGCGGGTGATCTGCAACTTAATTAATTAGAAATCGTTTTATTCTGCACGCAACTTTTGATTTTATTTTCAGTGTCCCTTGAATTCTCCAGACGAAAAGTGGGCTGAATGTTTTGCCGTGGCTGGACCGGGGTTTACAAAGGCGGATTGTTGTACTCGCGCGTGGGTACGCACGCCAACATCGCGACGCGCCGTGAGGCTGGTTCGACGTTACAAAAACTGCTGCCATCGAGCAAGCGCTGCGCGAGACTGATGTACGCATGTCTCATCAACAGATGCCATTATTAGCCGGCGCATTGCAAAAGCGAACCTTGCTCGGTGCGTGCCTTGCATTGTAATTGAGCACTGTCAAATCCTAGTGACAACAAAAAGCGGAAGCGACCGTGGCTCTGTGGTATTGCGCCCGCTTCACACCCGGGGGGACTAAGATGAAACCCTTCCGAGGGCGATTTTTTAAAGTTCATTTGAAGCATTTCATAGCATCAACCGAGACACTCCTTTCCCTCACAGTCTTTAACCCCCCCCCCCCCCCCCCCCCTTGATAGTTCGGTTGCCAGACGACAGCTGAACCACCAGGAACCAAAGGTGACAATCCCAGCCTCGGCTACAAGGCATGGAATGTCTTCATTTTCTGTCAAAAAAAATCAGATAAAGCAAGCTGCATTGTTCATGCCCCTCCGACCTCAACTTTTGCTATGGCTGTAAGCGAGTGCGACGGCCGCTTTAAGCAAATTAGAAGGGTGGAGCGAAACGTGTGACCTCTCTCCGTAGGACGCGTTGGACAAAAACGCTTGGACGAAAATTTGTCACGTGACTCTGCCGCTCTGAGGGGATCTCTGGGGCTGCTGTTTGCGCCGTTTGCCGAGTTATAGAAATAGATCCGGTTTCCAAAATCCGCTCTTCAGTGCTTTTTTTTTTTTTTTTTTGCTTTCGTGCGTTGCAGATGCGGCCGTGGTTCTCGTCGTAAAACAGCTAGAATACGTCCATGCCCATTTTTCGGTAACGGCCATATTTTTCGCCGGAGCCCGTGGAATCCTTGTGCTGTGTTTGTTGGACGCGCTTCAACAAAAACTACTGTTCGCCGACGATGATACGTCAGTTGGTGGATGCTACCTTCTTCCTTGACTGTGTTTTTGGGCTGCCCGAGTCGGATTATGCATCTAACAAGGATTACATGATATTTATATTTTATAACTAAGTAAACTGCAAGCATGCTTCTGATAGTAGTTCTGCTTTCTTCTCAATCTGCGCGGTTCTTTTTGTGTTTTAATTTATGAGTTTGGTTGGCATGAAATCCGTGTTAATTATATTTTATAATTTGATTTTTGTTTTACAGAAAAGTATGACCTTTGTAAATAAGTCGACAATAAGCTGTGTGTAATGATTGTGGTTTAATCAACTTCTGGGAGCGATCAAAAAACGTTTGTTCGCCGGTGTATATGATTGATATGCAACAAATGCTATCCAACATCCTATACAACACAGACTTGCACGACGTCCGGCCAATACGAAGCAGACGCATCGTAGAGTATTCACACGGAATTGCGCAAACACTAGGCCGGGGCAAAACGACTCTACTGCAAACTCTGCCGGATATCAAATGGTGGTGGAGAACTGGCAGTCTGAGCGATATTGGAACCGACTTTCGTCCGGTGCTGGCACGACACTGCCAGGTATCTCCGTCCTGCTTAAGAACAGAGATGATGACCAATGACCATTGTGTTTCCAACACTTCTTTAATCTCATTTTCTTCTGGAGCGCGTGAAAGAGCGCTCCTGTGGCACACTAGAGAAATTCCAAACTTCGGCAGGCTTCTGGGCTTTATATGGCAATTATTTGACGCTCCAGTGGCTAGCCAGAGAAGAGCCAAACTTCGGCATGCCCCAAATCTCCCAATTAGAATTTACTTCGGCAGTTAAGGCTCAAGTCTGGCACTTACTTTGACACAACTGTAGCGGACCAGAGAAAATCGCAATTTTGGCATGTCCGAAATACCCACATTAGGCGTTGCATTGGCAGTTATGGCTCAAGTATGGCACTTACTTCTGCACTCCCGTGGCGGACCAGAAAAAAGCCCAACTTTGGCGTGCCCTAGTATCGCCCAACTAGGGCTATAGTTAGGCAACGTAGTTTGGCACTGAGAATCGCCATGGAGCGAAACCTAAATGGGCCTAAGTTAGGCCCTTACGTTTACCACACTTTTGCCCAAGTTGGGCGTTTCTCTGTCGTGCTACCAGCGTGCTATCGTCAAATGGACACACCACATGGTTAGATATCTTGGTGTTTTGGGGATGGTGACAACGTAGCTTCCACTAATTTCAAATTCATAAGACGCTCTTGTGCGCACGACACCATTAATGGTAAACCTATAGAGTTGGCGGACGGAAGTGACGTCATGCGCAAGCACCTACTACGTCACCTGGCAAACTCGACGGTTGCTTGCAGGAATTAAACCAAATGTTAAACTACTGGGTGTCCCAAGAAGTGGCCAGGCTCTTAAAATCGACCGCAAAATTCGGTTTCTTAACCAATCGCGCTACGACTTTGTGCAGCGTTGCCCACAGATGGTGCTTTTTTTTTTTATTGTAAAGTTTGCAAAGAGCGAATTTACCTGAGGAAAAAGTAAAGAAAGAAAAAGGCTTAGCTCCTATGGAAACGCACCGAAGCCACCGGTCTTTAAACAATACGGCGCAGTTTCGCACGGGAGACAAGAGATGGCGCAAGCGGTCGCGACGCCAACTACCGCCAACGAACGAGCATACGGCGCCGAGAGCAGGCGTCTTTAGCAGATGATCTTTTCGACTCAAAAGCGGCGCGCGTTCCGCAGGCGGCGACAATCGCAGAAACAAAAACAGGCGTGGTAACAAAAAGGAACTGCAAAGCAGATGACACAAGTACCACCAAAAACAACAGTTAAAATAACACGACAATCCATCTTTTTAATCGATTATGTGCCCATTCAATATGTTTTATTCGTAAAGATGATAAAATAATGCATTGGCAACTTATATCAGAAAAGCTCGCCCCCTTTTGAGTCGAAAAGATTATCTGCTAAAGACGCCGGCTCTCGGCGCCGTATGCTCGTTCGTTGGCGGCAGTTGGCGTCGCGACCGCTTGCGCCATCTCTTGTCTCCCGTGCGAAACGGCGCCGTATTGTTTGAAGACCGGTGACTTCGTTGCGTTTCCATAGGAGCTAAGCTTTTTTCTTTCTTTACTTGTTCCTCGGGTAAGTCCGCTCTTTGTAAATTTTACCCAAAAAATGCACCATCTGTGGGCAACGCTGCACAAAGTCGTAGCGCGATAGGTCAAGAAACTGAATTTCGCGGTCGATTTAAAAAGCCTGGCCGCTCCTTGGGACACCCAATAGATCTCCCCCAACGTTCGTCATAAGTTAACGTAGAGTCACTGAATGTTCCCAGAGTACCGAAATTCAGAAGCTTCGTTTCAGAACCGAGTCGCGGCACAGCAGTAGCGCTCCAAACAATTTCCACATTACGGCGCTGCCCTGTGCGGTCGAAGCGAAGTGCGTACTGTAGCGTTCGTTCTCGTGCGAGCTCTCAACTCACTCTGGCCTGTGGCGAGAATGCTTTGTATTTGTTAAAGTTATTTTCTTTGTTCCGAGCGGTGAGTGACATGCTTCCTGCTGTCTCCATATCTCTCTCTCTCTCTCACCTCAAAATATATCGGAGTCAAGTGAAAGGCTTAGCATCTGAGGCGTAGAGTTTGAAACGCTGCCCAAGCGCAACGCTTGTGCTGCGTTTCAAACTCCAAGCCTCAGGCGCTAAGCCTTTCACTTGACTCCGATATGTTTTGAGGTGAGAGAGAGAGAGATAAGACAGCGAGTAGCATATCACTCACCGCTCGGAACGGAGCGAGCAAACAAGCCGGAAATCTTCTTTGACGAACTAGATTAGCAACTTCCTGATTAAAAAAAAAAAAAAAAAGATGAGACGTTTACAATCCCCTGTAATGCCGAATTACAGCGTAGCTCTTGAGAAGGAGGAGGGGAAGGTACGGAGAGGAGGCTATGCCCCTCATCCTCTCCTGCTCGCCTTCCATTTAAGGGAATTTTTTTGCTAAATTTAAAGGGGAAATGTTTCCGCTAAATTTAACGGGGAAAGTTACCCATAATGCACAACGCGGTTACGCCGCTGGCGCCGACCACTGAAGCCGGAAACGGGCGCCTAAAGGCTCTGTTACACTCCGACGTAACGCGCGCGCAAGCGAACGCCGGCCGAAGTCGGCTACGTCAGGTCAGTCACGCCGCGCGCGTCAAAAATTCGCCCTCTCTAGACTCCGGCGGCCCTGGCGACTTCCGCGGCCCGCGTCGGTGGGCCGCCAGCGCGGCGCATGCGCAGAATCTGGCTACGAGGGCGCGTTTCCGGCGAGAGTGCGCCATTTCCGGTTCCTTTTCGTTTCGATTAGCAGTCGAGAATTCTCGCGCTTCTTGAGCGACGAATTTGAGCGATGGCGCGGACGTACCTTGCACGACGAAAACTCGGGCTTGCACTGTTGGTGCACCGCCTGCGCCGCAAGCGTAGGCGGTCAGTGTATACATGCGGTACGTCTTTGACAAGCGCACGGTCTACGGTACTCAAGCTTCCTCGAGTCGTAGACACTCGGGTGAGGACGAATTACCTCGATCAGCTTCTCGACGACCCGAGATGTCCGATTCTTCAAACATGACGCCACACGGAGTGGTGCTCCCGTCGTCTGCTATTGCTCGTATTCGCCGCGAGGGCTGCCGGGAGCCAGCGCGTGGTGCATCCTGGTCCGGCGTCGCTGGCGCGGCCGGCGCGGAATACGGCATGCTCCATTTTGGCGTCGAGGCGGTCAGACTCCGTCGAACGCCGCCGGCCGCGCCGGTTACGCCACGACGCCGGAGTCTAGAGCGTCGGGTTTTCGCCGACGTGACGTCGCTGTGACGCGCTCGCACGCGCGCACGCGTTACGTCGGAGTATAACAGAGCCTTAAAGGGGTACTCCACCGATTTTTTGAGCTACCTCAACTAACTATATTTTCGGACTCCCCGGCCTTTACTCTCTCCGGTATGCTATTTAGAATCGCGAAATTCATAATAGTTATTGCGAAATCGGCAAATGAAAATGATGCAAAAACCAATATTCAAATATACGCGCGCTTTTCAGGGCCGTGACGTCAGTGGCAGGCAGGCTTGCCAGTCGAGCAAGCAGCCAAAAAATAGAATATGCCAATCATTTGTTCCGTGCTGGAGCGCGGGTACTGCAGCGAACTTCCCAAGCATTCATTTGACACCATGAAACTGCTTCGAATCAGTTTAAAACAAAATCTACAGCCCAAAGAGTGAACCCCTGCCTTCCACTGACGTCACTTTTTCATTGTTGCCAGTAGAGACTTCGAGCTTGAAAAACACGGTGAGGACCAAAACTGTAAATTCAATAACTTCGCGAAAAAACAATATTTTGACCTAATATTTGGGATACTATTTTTGCGATGTTTGTTGGTTAGCTTAGCAAAATTTCAAGCAAATCGGAGACAATGAAAAAATCGGTGGAGTAGCCCTTTAAGAGCTGCGCTTTAAAAATAAGGGGGAAAAAAAAAACTAGAGAAAATCAACGCACCATTCGTTCGTTTCTAACCCAGCGATGCCCAGAGCTCCCACCCGTGCGTACCCACCGTAGCCGTGGTTACGCGGAAACGTTTGAAATACGTTATTTGTTGTTTCGGACAAATCCCCAAAATAGCTGACTGATAAGTTCCGCCACAGGCTAAACACCCCAATCAGCAGTGGAGTCCGCGGGATTAACTTTCGGGAAGCAGACTGGATGGAATTCAGTACTCTGGGAACATTCAGTGATCCTAATTTAACGTATTGGAAGGGAGCTGCACTTTGCGCTGCACGTTCTTTCAGACTAGCCGCAATCTTTAAAACTGGCAGGGCTCAAATCAACCGATGATGGACGCGACGTGAAAAGGAGGCCGGGCTGTCTTGTTTAATTGGCCCACCTAGTTTATTTAGTAACTCTACCTCTAAAGTTCATGTTTTCCTGATTAGTAAATTTTCTTACCTTAGAACCAGGCCAATTTCTCTCGCATTCGCTCCCATATATACTTTTGACAGCTTTCCTATAGTTTTCGACGAGAGACCTTTCTTCGATGTTTTGTTTTTTATTATCAGTTTTATACCCGTCTGTATATGCAGATTGCACATCTGAAATAAAAATATTGAATGCGTTACCTGAAGCAAACCTTTTTCCATTACAGTAAAACAAATTTTTAGAATCCGTTTTTTTTTTTTTTATATCGCGACGCTTTATGGTGGGATCACGTATACCTATGTGCCAGAAGTAAAACAGTACCTATTTGAGGAACCACTTTATAACATAGCCTGCAGGTGCTAGTAGCATAATTAGAATTACGTAAATGCTTTATATGCCTATTGTAATTGCGTAAACCTATCGTATACTATATGCATGTTGTAAACTTATCGTATACTACATGCATGAAACGCGTTATAGGCACCATTAATCGATTTTTCCCTTCGATCAACAGGTGTTCAGAAGAAAAAAAACTTCGCGTTTATTCAATCACGAAAATAAACCATGCCTTCATCTTGATGTTTTGGTACTCTTCAAGAACTGCATTTACGAGACCCTATACAGCTTCACCTCGTACTTTTTTTTACTACCGGACAATTCCACCATTACCGGAAATACCGGACAATTCCCATTACAGGCAATACTGGGGGCCGAGAAAGAAACTTTATTAAGCCTGATTCACATGGTAAAATGTTACATGCGATTTCGCAGTTGCGACGTCGCTCGTGCGGCATAAAAAGCCTGGGCGAAGCAGCGGTGCCCGACGTCGCAGCTGCGAATTCGCAAGCAAAATCCCACCATGGAAATTGGGCTTTAACGAACTGTTGGTCTTGGTACATTCCCTAGCAAAAGCAGAGAAGTTGCATAGATCGCGCAGAATAAAACAACTCATAATAATAGCAGGCAATAAATAAACAAAATAAACACTAGTCAAACAAATAGCCAACTCCAGCATATTTGCTCACATTAGATGCACTGAGGTCATGAAGACATGCTTTAAAAAAATTAATTATTAAATGAATATGACAAGCTACTCATAACTGTTCATTTGCTTTTTGTCTTTTTTCTGAACCGGGCCAGAGCGGGAGCTGCAAGCCGTTTTAGCCTAGTGTAACTTTGCAGGGTTTCTTGAGGCGCGGGTAAATCGTTTATGCGAACAGTACGGATCACGCAGGGAAAAAAAGTTATTGTAGTGTTTGTCTCTGCCAACGGGCCATTAAAAAAAATTTTTTGATGTTTTATATATTGAGTTCATTACTTACTTTCGACTAATTAATTTTTTTAGAAGGTACATTTAAATTTATGGTTTCAAATACGAACTTTCTGAGCATCAACAAAAATCACTGTATAAAATCACTTTACTGTTACATAACATATAAGGCACACAAACTATTCTAGAGGGTTTCGGAAAAAACGCTCAATTCGGGCGCGTTGAGTTTCAGTTTTTTATCGAAGGGGATCTCTACGCCAGCACTACTGCCCAGAGCTGTTTATACTGAGAGAGTTTGGCCAATGGGAAGAGCTTGCTCCCATCTAGAACCAGCGGGTTTCGCGATAACACAAAATGGCGTTACTTCTCTCGTATATTCCTGAGAAATCGCATAGAGTTCCTATGAGTCAAAGTCTTCCTCCGGTTGCCAGACTACGCAGCATTGGTTGCCAAACTAGCCAGACCGTCAAAGTCTCCTTAAAGGGGCCGTGCAACGCGTTTTGAGCTTTGCGCAAATACCGCTATGAACGGATTGTTGACGTTGATGACCTGTGAAACACCCGTTCGTTTTTCAATACACGCAATCGAAGTCGCAGAAACAAAGAAAAATGATCAGCGTTGACCCCCTCAACTCGCAACCAGAACAAGAGGCCACGTGATCTGGAGCCGATAATGTGACGCCAATCTTGATCATAGCCCCGCGCTGGGGTTGGCGAAGCACAGGACACGCGCTGAGTTCCAGACATTGTTATGGTTTGTCTATTGTCGCCATTGCAACGACTGTACACGGGCCACCACCCAAAGGCTTCTCGAGCTGTCGATTGTCACGAGTCCCAATCGAGTGCCCACACAATGCTCGGGTCCAGACTATGAGCCGCCTTCAAATATCGTCACTGGCGAAACTGCGACCGCCCAGCTTGAAATTGCATCGCAACAAAGGTGTTTCTTGGCCAGTGGCGTTGCGTGCGAGTATCCTTGAGTCCCATTGTGCCAGTAAGCTTGTGTAAAATGAATAACATTCCAGTTGAATTTCCTTGCACCGCCCTTGAAGATGGGATACTATCCCAGTATAAACGGATCTGGCCCTAACCTCCCACCCCCGTAGTCAATCATTTCCTTCACTCCTACGAGGGAGGAAAGGGGGAGCTGCGGCGTTTTGGCCACTGGGGAAAAGCTCCGTTCCGACAGAAAAATCAAAACATAAAATATCTTCTTAAAATCCGTTAATTTAGTGTTATTTTTTATTATGCCCAGCAAGTTGCTAAGCAACCAATACATTTACATAGTAAACACTTAATTACTCGAAAGTAAATAATAAACTAGTTCTACCGAACGTTATTATTATCCCAAGTGGGCCCTTTGGCAGAGATCAATACAACATCAACGTTTTTTTTGGTTTTTTTTTTTTTGATGCGATGCAATCTTTTCGCAGGAATACTTTGTATGTGATCTGTTGGCGGAACAAGGTATCTCAAAGGTCTCAAATTTGAGCCTCCAAGTATTGAGGGAAGCAACCGTCGCCCTTGCAGGAGACGCCTGGAGAGCCGACGGACGCCACGACATAAGGCAGCGACTCACCGAACATGCTTCGGCCGCGCCCCGCTTGCGCCGTCATGCGTCTCCCGGGTCCCCCATAATGCCCGAGCCACAAAAGAGCGAAAAACAGAAAGAAACGACAGCGGTAATTCTCAAACACATGCAGCATGCTCGCGGTGGGTGGTACCTTTGGCAGGCGTTTAATTGTTCGGTGCTCGTGAAGCAAGCACGATAGATTGCAAGCGTGCCAAAGATTCCCTCGCGAGCATGATGCTCGTGTTAGAGCATAGCCTCCTTTATTATACAAAGCCATAGCCTTCTCTATAGATGCTTTAAACACGCGCCAGATTGAGCCGCCATGGCCGACCCTCTCTTGTCTTACTGAGATGCCAAGCCACTGAAACGGGCGTTGATGAGCCTCCACAAAGGCCGATGCGGGGGAGAAGGACACAGTACCACCTAAAGTGTCAATAACCGGTCCTCCTGTGACAATCATGAGGTGAAGCGAACAGGATAAGAGGAAACAAAAACTGAAGGCCGGTTACGGCGGCGCCCATGCACAGCTGCTGCAACGCATCTATACTCACAAAGCCTGGCACTTCGACGACGGAGCTATAAGTGCAAGCTCGCAGATTTGGAACGCGAGGATCTGGTAGCGTAGAGCATCAAAGAGCCATTTCTTGGGAAACCTGGACGTCAGCGCACAGCTTTTGGAGCGGCGAGGAACCGAAGCACACTTGTTCGCTCGAAAGAAGTGTGTTTCGGCGTCTCGCCGCAGCGGGGCGCCAGTCACGCGGCTCTCCTTTCATCCGTTTTCTGCCGCTCCACCTTTTCCATTTTGGCTCCACTTCTCGTGGCGGTCTGCCAGGCTTTGTCAGTATATAAGAGGCTATCACAAAGCCTGTCGAATCGTGAAAAACTCTGGTCTTGTCGCTGTCGTTTGTTTCTGTGTGTCGCTCTAGTGGGACTTGGACGGAAGCACTCATCCGCGCGCTACGATGTCGCCGACGTTGTCTCGTCTGTTTTTTCACAGCCGATTGGGAACTGAGCTCGCGCCATAAAAATAACTCGAATGCAGATGTTATAATGGCACACGACGTTCGAACGTTTAAGAAGCTTCCTGCTCGCCATACCTCGGCATAAAATCAACACAATCAAGTTCGCTTTTCAAGGTGGCTTCCCCCAGCTACTTCTTCTATGTTGCAAATATAGTTTCATGCCTGCGTCATTCAAAGACCACGGTTTGGTGACTTCTTCCCTTACCAGTTGCAACGCAAACCATGGCTTTGTGCAGTGAACACTCTTCGTTAAATAATAAAGTAAGAAACAAAGAATAATTTAGATCACTTGACCTATGCACGAAGTTACGCCATCTCTATGTCAACTCAGTTTCACCGCTAAATTTAGTAGGAAACTTACGTATTGTGGCCTAAACACCAATTCAGTTTGCCCTCTAAACACCATTTAGCGGAAAATTATTGTGACAATGTTACGACACCCGTACATCTGTTCAGCTTCCCATTAAATTTAGCGGGCAATTTAAGTCACGTGACCTATAACTAAGTCACCATCCCCGCTAGATATAGCTTAAGGTATCGCATGACCTAAACAAGAATCCAGTTTCCAGCTAGATTTAGAGGGGGAATTAACGTCACATGACCTATGCAACAATTCAGTTTCTCCGCTAAATTGATCGGGGAAACAAACGTACGGGTTATGCCGATTTCCCCTCCCAAACCCTCCGCCCCCCTTATACGGTGCCCTCCCTCCCTTTCCCTCTCTCTCTGCTTCCTCCCGCCGCGGTCAGGTGATACACCAACTCAGTTTTCATGCTAAATTTAGCGGGAAAATTAACGTCACGTGACATACCGACAAATACTTTAGTAGAGTATTTGATTGCAATTTCTGACACCCATCAATCTCTCTTCTTACTTTTCTATCCTCCCAATCCCTCTTCTTACCCTCCTATTCTGTCTTCTCTCTCTCTCTCTCTCCATCTGCCTCCCATCCCCTTCCCTGGATGAATGGATGAATAAATAGATAGTTGTTAATTGCTATACCCTTTGTAACGGGTGGTAGATAGCGCCACCTACCCTAAGTCTAAAAAGACAAGCATCTGATTCCACCCACCCTTCTAAGACCAATTTTCTTCCCCTGACTGTCACCAGGCAGTGTGGGATATCACCAGGATGACCTTTTGGGGGATCGGGCAAAATGACTAAAAACATCACCCCTCACCTCTTTCCCCCGGCGAGGAAGTCGCCAATTTTCCTCTGGTCAAACCTTGTCGACGTTGCCCCAGCACCGGACCCACTAGGGGACAGGGTTGGGGCTTAGGGCCGGAGCCACGCGGAAGGAAGTCCCAATTTTCCTCTCTGTCTCCAACTGTGCTGTTTAGTTGAGCGTAATTAAATTTTCCCTAGCTAATTTCCTCCAATCTTCTAATCGCCTCTTTGTGATTGTAATCCTCTTCTCCCCCGTCCTTCCTGCGCCGCCAGCAAAGCCCAAAGTCCCCGCCAAATCTGCTATCCCTTCAGGGAGGGCAGGGCGAAGCCCTGTGCACTTCAAAGCCCAGGCCTCTATTGTCTCGCTCTCATTATGGCAGGTGGCACATAATGTGTCAATATCCTGAAATTTAGCTCTATAGACTTTTTGCACAAGGGCGCCGCCCCCTTGAAATATCGCCACTTCAAGTATGGGCGAGAACATTGCTTTCCCGTCGCCACGCCAATAGAATGCATTTAGGATATAAGCGTTACCGTCACCCATTCTCGTTTTGTCTCTCCTCTATTTTTTTACTAGTTGCAGGTTGAAATGTTTTATTACATTTTGTCGCCCATACCTGATTTGCCTACTTGACGGCCGGGGACGAGAGTAAGCGAAAAAGGTCTATACGTCATCGTCCTCAAAGTTCCAGTTTTCGCCTCAAACAGTAAAACACTTCCCAGTGAATTATAAAACAAATCTTCCTTTTTTATGTCCTTTTTGTGACACGTACATTGTTAGAGCTGATTTGTCCTGCATTCTTATGTCCCACAAAATTTCTGCCTCTTTCACTTCTTTTTCCACTGAAGTAGGCTGCTCAGACCCAACACTAGTGTGTAGGCACTTAAATGTAAGCTTTCGGGTTCGGTTTGTCCATTTTGTGTTTAACCTTCTCATGTATAAATACTTGAATACCTTCCATGTCCACGGCGTATCATCCATTTCGGTCAACTTCTGTTCAAATTTGAACTTACCAATTCTTCTCCTGCTCTTAAAAGACGACCAGCCCATGTCCCCCTGTACTGTACTATCTGCATGGGTGTATTTCCATGTGCTCCCAGTGCCAATCTGCTTACGCTTCTTTGCCGAATTTCTAATCCTGATTGAACCTTTCATTTCATGCATAGTACACCATTGCGAAGAGGCAGTCATGGTACCATCATTCCTATCCATATACCTCTGGTCACTTATTATCTATTATAGTTCCATAGTGCCTTGAGGTTCATAATAGAAAAATTTATTTTCTGTTTTCTAATTATATTCTTCCCGTGTTCCTCTAGATATTTCCTTCCCTCAGTGAGCCAGACTCTCAGATGTGTTTATTTTTCAACATGGTCTATTACAATGTCTTGTATTCACGGAGGTTCACTCTTTTTGTCGTTAAACACGATTACACCAAACTTGTTACTACTAAACCTCATGCCCAAGGCATCACCTTCCTCTCCACATATTCCAGCGAGTTCCTGTAATGTATCCTGAATATATCTGCCATAAGTACTGTTATCCGCATACATCAGTCCTGGTATTTTGTGTACTACAGTTCTCTCTCCTTCCATATAACTCACATCAAAACCTAAGTTGTTATGCTTGAGTTTCGTTTCCATTTCACAGATATATATCATGAACAGTAGAGGTGTCAGTGGACAGCCCCGTTTGAGCCCTTTTTTTATGGCTGCGAGTTGTGTAGTTTCTGTTTCACATGCCTAAAAACCTTATTGTCGGTTTTCACTTGCTGAATAAACCTAACCAAATTTGCATCTAAATTATACTCATTCAGCTGACCCCAGAGTTTTTCTCGGGCTCACATTATCGTACGCTAACTCGATGTTCAAATAAGCTAACCATAAAAAATTTGGTTCTTCATTGCCATTTCTATACATTGTGTGTTGACGAATAAGTTATATTCCAGTCTTCTATCTCTTCAGAATTCATTTTGGAGCTCACCCAGTATTTGCATATCTTGTGCCCATTCCTCCATTCTCCGCATTACTATCTGCATAGCTAATCTGTACAGAACTGAAGGTACCGTTATTGGGCGATATGACTTAATGTTGTCTTTGTTTCCTCTCTATATATCACTTTCATTTTACTTAGTTTCCGATCATTAGGTACCACTCCTCCCATAATTATTTCATTAATCACATGCTGTAACTTCAATTTGCTTGTTTCTCCTAGTGTCTTTATGAGTTCCATGGGTATGTCGTCTAAGCTTGTCGCTGTACCAGCTGGAACCTTACTTTCTGTCTTGTCTCATTCTCTTATGGTTGTCTCCATTGTTACACAATCCTCCTCTCGCTGCTGCTCTCAGTCTTTTTTTTTTTATCTCGCTCCATCTACCACTTCCCCATCCCTCCTCACTCCCTGGTCACGTAACTCACTAATTCAATTTTTTCAAAATTTATAAAAACAGTATCTTCACTCCCGGAACGACTGTCTCGCGTCTTCCGCACAATCGAAACGTCGCTGTTGATTGCTTAAGGCTGGTTTATACAGCTGCGACTGCGTTAAACAATGTGCCTAAGCACCTCTTAAAATCTCTCACGACGAGAGAACACACTGGCGTCATCTAATGGGTATCTCTGGAACACTTTGCATTTCCGCGCATTTTGTACTCTTTTAACACATCATTCTTTCTTTCTTGGCTTTGAAAAACAATTCGATAATGTTATAACCGACTATTTATTGAAAATACGTACTTTTGATTTCGAAATTGAAGCAAAACCCTCGCTCCAGTAAAACGCAGTTCCAGAGTTACCTTACAGATGGCGCCAGCGTGCCAGCCTGTTCTTTTGTCGTAAGGTATCACAATAATTATGTCGTAAGTAAAAGCAGGTGAACACATGCCTTTAGTAAATACCGCGCCGCTTAATTCATGACGCCACCCACAAAAAGACGCGCGGCTCACATTTTATTTTGTCGAACTATTTTCCAATGAACCGGTAACCGTCACATATGAGAATATGGTTTTTTTCCCGTTCCGGTTCAACATCAAATGTATAATATTGGTTCGGGTTTTCTTACGGTTCGGTCAAAAATAATTGGTACTTCTTCGGTTTTGGGTTCGGGTCCGGGTTAGGTTCGACACCCTGTTTTAAACTAACACTGTCAAAGTTGACAGTCTTACATTACTTTTACTTCTGTCTCTGAAAGCGGAATTATTCTAAATAAATACGTCACAGTGAGCATCTGGCGTCTAGGCAGTCGTGGAATGCCGACCACGTCAGCAAAAAGGCTAAGCTACACATTATCGGTGTAGCTTAGTATTTTCGACGATTGCATCAGGCCCAATGAACACGAACGGCTAAACCCGCTGCCCCCGCATGGCAGGGAACGTGTTTCGTTTCCGTCACATGCTATGTTACGACCAACATAATTTCTAATTCAGCTTTTGAGATAAGAAGACAGGCAAAGTTGGGCTATTCTATTTTACGTTAACGAGCAGCTAAAAAGAAAACAAATTCCTCTTCTAGGTTCTATGACCATAATTCGAGACACTGTTTAAACAAGCTGGAAAAAATTTTGTGGTCCATCAAAGAAAATTAACAACATTCCATGGTTTGAAAAGAGATTTTTTTATCTGAGGTGAAATTCCAAAAAGATCTTACTGAGAAGGCCCTTTTAGTTCCGAGTTATTGAGTGAAAATTCGGTTGATTGTTAAATTGCGAATTGAAATAAATAACGTCCCAGACGTGGTAGACTGTTTCGAGGCTGAGTGTATACACTATTTTTTTATGAACTGATATGCGTTGGTAGTATGTGTTGAAGGGACATTACAAGACTTACGCATATCAATTATTTTGTTATTCCGCGTCATTGTCAACCACAACCAGCCCAATGTTACATTGAAGTTCAATTGTTATCATTTACACGGCTTCTAAACTGCACGCATAATATGTAATAATCTTGCACTCACCAGCGCCGGCGACCGTTGGTGTACAAATTGCAAGCAGCACAAACATAGCCCCGATCAGTGTTGTGGTTCTCATAAGAAAGAATAAAAGACCGGTGTTCTTCATACTGTCATCCACCTAGAATAAAAACACGCGGATCAAATTGATGTGTTAAAATGAAAAAAAAAATTAAAATACACCTGAAATAAAGACAAGCGCTTTTTTTTTTACTTTTGTCTTTCTTTCTGGAAGGGTCTAAGGCGCCAAAATACAGCACATAAAACTAAGACGAACAGCCCGTGCGCTCGCATAAAACATAAAGGGTAATTAAAACAGGAAAGGAATTTCAAACCGGGATTCGCAATGATCTCTCATCAAGGACACGCTTGAGAGAGTCCCAGGTATTTTAATTCAGACAAACACAAAGCGATCGGGAAAGGACTGAAACATGTAGCTTCATCGCTAGGTTTTGGTTTTGGAGTTATACATTTTTTGAAGTTTGAAGCTTGAAGCTTTAAGTTTGAAGTTTGAAATTGGAAGGTTTTGAAGTTTTTCTCGTGTATTACGGAACACCGCTAACTCTACATACAGTTGTCACAGCATTCATCCAATATGCTGTGAGCTGGAACTCGGCGTTTCTATTGCCTTCGAATTCAAAGTTAAGCGGCAAAAAACAAATCACTATTTAATAATGTATCCGAACCCCTTGCCTTTGTGCAACATGTAAAATTGGTTTAGCTTTTATTAATGGCAGTTTTAAACCGACAATTTTGCCATGAACTAAACAGTTAATATTTATGGAGATCGTGGGTTTATTTTCCGTCAAACGTACGTAAATTAACAAAATTCGCATAAAACAAGTTTGACATCCGTTTTACTCTGATCCATATTTTTCAATATTATGTTTAAATTTATAACAAACACCTTATATACACAAACTCATCTCTGTTACGTCACGGCGCGGTGGTGGCGCGTCGGGCGCACATCCGGTCTGGGGCTCTGGGCGGAAACCGCTATGGGCCACGTACATTCATGTGTTACTTTGGAAGAAACCGGACGAAAACCTGCCTTCTCGGCAAAGCGCCGCGACTGGGGCTTTACCAAAAGAGTCGCGGTTTGAAGGTCAGTTTTCGTTCGTTTTCTGCCTGCACGGTTCGTCCGAGAACGTGAATAGGGGCCGTGAAAAAGGAAAAAAAGACGTCGTCGGACCACGACTGCTTGGGCGGAGAGCACTTTGGATTGAATTCACGGATACTTGTGGTCATCAGATTTATTTGTTTTGTCCCAACATTAACGCGGGAAAACCGTCAAGTTGCACGGACCACATGCGGACTACGTTCAGTGCGTCATCACGTTCAAACGGCCGCCTCATCGTTAGATCTCTCTCAAACGTTTCTGCTTGTCGCCTGCTCGTTCAAACGACAGCGGTCCGTAGACCAAACGTTGACCCGGTAATTGCGATAAGAAGTGCATACTTCAAAAGACATTCAAGTTTGAAGGTTGCTTCCTGTAAGTAGGCTTGGTGTAAACAGTAGGTATAAGGAGATGTTGATAATTGTTACCAGTGGCCATCACCGACCTGTTATGCCTAATTCACTCGGTCTGATTCTGCTTGCGATTTTCAGTACCGACGTCGACATCACGGCCACGGTTTAGGCTTTTGCAGCCGAGCGACGTCATGACTGAAAATAGCGAGCAGAACGTCACCATGTGAATCAGGCTTTCGTCCATTCTGCGGCGTCCACGCAGAATGAATCGCCGCATGTCACATTATTCACGCCGAGTTTTGCGGTGTAACGAGCCGTGTTAATTTCGCTGAGGCCGCGCAAGTAGTCAGACATTGCCAGGAAGACGTAGAATCAGCAATTCTAACGCGAAAAGGAGCGCGGGGACTCACAACAACGCCGAAAACATCCCATTGCAACGGTTTGTTTATGGGTGACGGCGAGCTTCTTGCCCACACCCCCATCACGCATGCGCGGCGTCGGTGGCGTCCGCTAGGGGGCGCTCTGGTTTGTTTGTAAACATGAGTTGGTGTATAGAAATGGACTTAGAGCGAAAAACAAAATTGGTACTTAAAATAAAAGAGAACCAATTTCTTCACCAAAACGTTTTCTCGTCGCCGGGTGTAATGCTACAGCCGTTAAGTGAGAATTAGTGAACAAATGGCCTAAACCCTCAAGTACTACAAGTTGAAAAACGTTTGGAGTGGTGTGCTTGACTGAACACATTATTAATTTTGGAATATTAGGCCCTGTGCGGCCAAACAATAACAATGTATATGTTTATAAAAGAGCGACGACTGATTTGAGAAAATGCTTGATTCAAGATCCTCCTTGAAGGGGCTCGTGTAATTCTAACCTATCGTTAAATCAAACTCCCAATGACTGTACTGCAAGTTCCATCAAATTTTTAACAAGATATGTTAAAAAAAGTGTGATGTTCAGAATTTTTAATGTGGAATCTACAGCCTCCGAAGATTTTATGACTATTATGCTCAAACAGCGAGCATTCGAACAATGGAATATTAAAAGAGCTAACTTTTATAAATCGGAATGTTCGGACAGCAATTATTCAAACAATAAAGTATCCATATAGCGAAGATACAAAGAAGTGCTATTCTTTTACAATGTACTCTGAATAATTGTACCTCGTTAATATGTATATTCACGAAGAATTAAAAAATATTAAAAACATTATCCTTAAACGAAAATTATTATTTATATTACCATTCACATGCACAGTGAGTACCCTGGTCGACCGCATGAAGACATAAATAAATACTGGACGTTTCAACAAAAAGCGATATTAATTAACACACGTACAATATGCAGAGCTGGCCAAATTACTCATATTTTGTAATTAAATTACATTACCAATTACTTTGCTGAAAATTGCTGAAATGTAATTAAATTACATTACAAATTACCACAGCCAGAAAGTAATTAATTACCATTACAAATTACTTTTAAAAGTAATGACATTACTTTCGCATTACTTTTGTATACTTTTAAATATAAAGGAGCTATTGATAACTTCCTTTTACAGATAACTTTATTTACATTATTTACACAGGTCATGGCGCACAGCTAGAACTCTCTGTTGCATGTTTACCGATGGACAGAGCAACGCACGCGACTGATCCGTTTCCCACCCCGACCCGGACAACTATTTTTGGAGATGACTGAGGACCCTACGCGCGTTATCTCTGGGAGGGGGGAGAACAGTTGTCATTGTTCGCAAAATCGCGTCGAGGGCCGTTCCACCAGAGGCCTTAGTTCGACCTACCTCCCATCCTTCGTTTCCCGAGAATGTCGAGCAGAAAAGCTCGAATGGAAGGCACTTACCAGCCCTATTTCTCACAGTGGAAGATAACACAGAGAGGGTACGCAGTATGCATCAGAAAAAGTAAGCGGAAACTTTCAAGAGGGGCCAAAAAACGTCGAATGCAAAACCGCAAAACATAGGTAGAGAATCGCGCTGAGCGGGTTTTCACAGTTCAAGAGAGTGGCAGAAAATGTCTAGCTGATAGCGGGCGCGAGAGTCGCACCAGCCGCATTAGCATCAGCAAAAAACAAATGAGTCGTTAGTTGTTTATACAGCAGGAGTTTAGTCTGCCAGAACATGGCGACATTGTTACCCACTGTAGATGAGCAATTTAGCCAGTGCAGTAACACCGCTAGCCTGGGGTCTTTAACGTGCACCACGCAATAGTGATACACGACCGCACGCCGGTACAATGCTCATCCAGATCGAAACGGGCAGGGGTGGGGCTCGAAGCCAGGATTCCTGGGTTCTGCAACGCGAGCTTTCGCTCCACGTGCGTCGAGCTGGGTGTGCGCTTTAGCCCACTCGGCCACCGATCCCCCAGCATCAGCAACATAGCGGCGACCAAAGAGCGTTTTTTGGAAAGGTGTAGAGGAAAAAGAAAAAGTAAAATAAAAAGAAAAGTGCTCTTGTGTATTGTGAACACAAAAAATATGCCTGGTGCGAAAAAGTAATTAGGTAATTTAATCACAATTACCGTCGCTGGAGTAATTCATTACATTACTAAATTACCTGCTACAAAAAGTAATGAATTACATTACTAATTACTGGAACAAGTAATTAAATTACTGTAATTTCATTACAGTAATTGCATTACTGCCAGCTCTGACAATATGTTAAAGCGCAGATTTTTTTTTCTGCAAAAAAGGTTTCGCTTGAGTGTAACAAGCGGAGTCCAAGGAAACGCACAAGTATCCCAGAGAAGGCAATTCAAAAGCCTGCGAAGCTTAAATAAGGTGTACTTAAAAAGCCTGAACAATGTACATATAAAATATTTTAACCATAATTATGTATAATCAAGATGATTTTATGCAGATTTTTCGCCTTTGCCAAGACACTTCTCAGAGCTGGTAGAAGTGTGTTTGTAAACCCCGAACCTCTGAGCAACGGTGCTTGCGATGGTGAGAAGACCGCGTCGTCCTCCCCTTGTATCATCATCATCATCATCATCACGAGCCGTGGAACCGCAGGCCTTCATGGTACGGGCTGTCGCCAATCCGCAGTACCACGGCTCTCCTGAGGCAATACAGATTATTCTTATTCTAATTTGCAAAGCGGCTCAACTGGAGTCAAATCTCCGATTGTGTGAAACCCAGACCGATGACTTTGATCGGCCCCATGAGGAGGCGAGCGAAAAGGCCAGCTGATCAACTAACCACGACTCACGGGAGCCTATCATTTGTCCGCACAGCTGACTCTCGAATAACAAAGCCCAGCTCCGCACGCAGTCTAACGTCGTCACGGGCGGATTATAACGCACCAATGAGCAGCGCATCAATTGCATGACGTGACGTCTTGCCACCGCAGCTAATCGTAAGCGTATTGGGAGCGATAAAACTCTTTACCGCCCAATAAGGCATCGCGTGACATATTGAGAGCGCACGGCTAAACAATCCGTCTCTATTGCGATTCATTACTCTCTATTATTATCGACGTCCCTATCCTCCTCAAATTCATCCAGGGTTTAAGATCGGCAGGTGAGGAAACGAGAGCCGATTGGCTGACCTAACTGTGTCCCCGTTTCAGAAAGGTTCCTTTTACACCACAAATATGGCGCCACGCAAGGAGACGAAAAAGCCAAATATCTTCAT